CCTGACACTCGCACCCCTCCATTTTACAATGACGTAAGATCGAAGCAAACACCATTCTTTAAATCCACCAGGAAAACATATACAGTATGAATTACCACATATATGAGTGCCGAATGTTGTAATATATGTCCGTTGTTAAGTAGTGGCCTGAGTTGTCATACGCAACCCGGGCTTCCCCTCTTTCTTAACCTGATTTTAATTGCTCTGAAACTATCCAAATGTGTCTGTGCATTTAGCTTTACTAAAAGGATGCTCTTCAAAAATGGGAAAAGGGGGCGGCTCTATCCCTTGACCACAAACTGTGTATACAGCTACTGTATGAAAAAGCCAGAGAGCAAAGTAGACAATGAGCCCTGTACTTTCTGAAAAAGTATTCTCAGGCTTAGCTGCACCTTTTGTACATGCGTACATTACTTTGGTGGCGACGATTCGCGTTCTCTGTAAGCAACAGAAAATGTATTGTTAATCGCAATGCAAAAGTAACAGGGGGATGAAATAGAGCCCCCCTAGCCTTTCTTAAACACCCCCCTTGTTAAAGGCTTGTGTAAGTGGTTTGCTCATGCTTGAATTAGGTATGAATATTAAAAACTTAAATTTTTAGAGACTTTGTGCTTGCGAGGGCTTTATACTAGTCACAAAAATTATAAATTATACTTTCAAGTAGAATATTCCTAATTCTTGGGCAATTAATTTTATGTCTCAAATTTTAGTTTTATATATTTTGTATCATTTTTTTCATCTCAGTTATTGAAGCAGTAGCATACGGATTGGTGTTTCCTCTTGACTGGTTATTGGAAACATGGTAAAATGACACGATTTAAAGAAACCTTCTCTAGCCATTTTGATTTAGGCCAGTTAGTAATTGGGGTGCCGCACCTGTCGGTCAATAGTAAGGGGCGGGGCGGCGCTGGGAACTCAGTTAAGCCGGACCCAGGCACTCAGCGCGCGTTTTCCAACACATCCAGTCCACTCCATAACTCGCTCTACCGGACACCTTCCCTGAGGATGTAACATGGTTACATCGAGGGAACAAGATATTAATAACACACCATACCCTGCACCCAGAGCCATGCGACAGCCCTGGGGCGGAAAGACGCGAGTTCCCCGGCGGGACAGAGGGCGCCACTTGCGCTGTGCGCTGCGCAGTGCTGGGACGCGAGGGCGAGCACCGCCCTGGGCCTACCAGGAAAGGAACAGTCCCTCCGCCGAGTGGGCGAGGTCTGGACTGAGCAGACCGCTGGAGGCTCCCTCTAAGCCTGCCTCCTGCGCAGGCGTCGGTGCCTGCCGGCGCCCCCTGCTGCCGTTCCCGGCGGGAACACCGCGTCGCGGAGCGCCGCAGTGGAGACGGCCCGCGCGGCGAACAGTCGCCGTCGGAGCGCGCCCGCAATGGAGAGCGGCCCGCGCGGGGAACGAGCCGCGTCCGAGCGCTCTGCAGTGCGAGACGCCCGCGCGGGGAACAGCCGCGTCGGAGCGCCCGCAGTGGAGACGGCCCGCGCGGCGGGGAGGGGAGGCTCACCGCTCCCGCGCCTGGCCGGGCGCCTGGGCTTGAGCGCGAAGCGGGCGTCCGCGGGCGGCCGCTCCGGGAAGGAAGGAGCGCCGGCCTGCCCTGGCCCTGGCGGCAGGGGCGTCGCGGCTTGAGGAAAATCCATGGCAATGTGGAACGGGTGTTCGTGTCCTGTGTGGAGAGAAATCAGAGTGTGGATTCACGCAGGCGGGGCCGGCGTGAGCAAACCCCCCAGGCCGCGAGCGCGCGCCGCGCCCTGCAGGCTGCGCCCCGGGGCTTGGGGCACAAGAGGGCAGCCGCACTCCCGCTGCGGAGACCCTCTCTCCATTTCTGATTGATCACGGAATGTAACTCGGTCATGCTTCGTTCAGAACACAATTACAGCAATTTTTGTTTTCTAGGGCACCAGAAGCTTCCATGAAAGCAAACAACAAACTCAAATCATAGGGATAACTAGGTGTTAATGCACCAGTGAGAAATGAGAGCACGTTGAAAGATGCATTCAGAATAACTAAGGGGCCGCCAGCTATGAGTGAAGGTCCTTAGGGTCCCTTAGAGCTGGCCACGACCAGTGGAGCTGCTCTAAGCCTAAACATTATCTACCATAGACAATGTTTTATCCAAAATTAGTACACGGTACTAAAATAAGTATATTTCCAGTATTTGTTTTATTTTCCCCCACTTTCTTGATGACACTTTTACAGAGATGTCAATACTGTGAAAAGAAAAGGAAAAAAAAGAAAACAAGCACACCCATGACACATGGGGGTGGATTTGTCCTCAGCTACATACTTGGTGACACCTTGTATTCTAGGACTGGGACGTACATTACATAGAGAAAACCTTGGTATTTTAGATTGTTCAGATCACTTGAAAACATCTGAATTACACAGGGATGGCCTCATAAGATTGTTGAAAGGATAAAAAGAAAAGATAACTCAGACAAAGAGACTACTCCGTGAATTTCCCGTAGAAACCATCCCACTCCTGATGCTGCCCTTCCCTTGATTTAATCTCTCTGTGTCTATCAGCCTCACTGAACAAACTTGCTGATGCAGGAATTATTTTTTTCTTAGCTAATGTGTTCTAATCACTATTTTGAGAGAGATACAATATATTTATCAATAACTTCAAGAACAAATGCTAGAAAATTCAACCTAAAAATGGCAAAGCACAGGTTGGTCAGGCAGAGAAGACTTCAAGAGTCTCACTGTGATTCTCCCACTATCTTTATGATGCTGAGATTGTTCTGCCCATAGAGCATGTGTTAAATAAATATTTGTACTTGGATTAAGAGGCAAGAGTGGATTTTATAAGATGCTTCTAAAATAGAGGGTACCTAATAGGAAATGGAACCAAAGACTTCAGCACTGAACTATGAAAAATAATTGTATGGAGAAAAAGAAATCCCAATCCATTTTAATTTCATAACAGAAAAAAGAGATTTTTCTTCAAGAAAGCTGTTTGTCAAGTGAAAAAGCAGACAGGAAAATTTATTATTTTTCTCTCCAACCAGAACATAAGTTGCTGAATGAAGAGATGTTATCAAGTCCCTGGGATCAAGGAAGTGCTTAGTAATTATTTATTAAATGTATGAATGAATATTGCAAGGGATATTTTACTTTTACAGGTATTTAAGCTTAAGACTGAACAATCAATACTTTGAGACTTCAGAGTTCCAGTGTTGGACCCAGTCACTCCCATTTACATTGTCCGTGACACTCACCGATGAGTGGTTGTGGGGCTCCTTTCTTGCCACGACTGACACTCAGCTGATATTCTTGCTCAGATCCCTTGGAGACACAAAGAACCAAGCTTTACGCCAAATGTTTCATGGTAAATGCTTGAAGAAGAACACGTTGCTTTATCATGTCCACATTTCCGAAAAGGAAAACCACTGGGACAGCAGAAGTGCTGCTCAATGCATTGGGTGGTTAATGGTGCCAACATCAGTGCCCCTGTGCCCCTCACAGCCTGCAACAGACGCCCCCAGATTCCTGCCTTCTCCCCTCTGCTGGGCCTGAGTCTGTGGACCCTCACACAGTCAGCCCCTTTCTTTCTGAGAGACCCATGGAGTGGAAATCACTTCATGCTCCTTCACTAACACAGGGAACGTTAGCCCAGAGGGTCCCGCTGTCCCCAGGCTCTGTAGAACGCTGAGCTTTGCCGTCACCTGTCTCTGCCCAGTCGAGCCTGTCATCCGGGCAGGGACAACATTCGCCCACGGGACTACGCCTGAGCACAGTGAAATGTGGAAGGCATCGTAAGCCACAACCCTGAGCAAAAGGAGACAGATGCCCAAGAGTCCTGAGGAGCTGGCAGAGTGAAGTCAGCCGCTGCCTTTCATTCAAACAAGGGACAAGGACTCTCACCTGGAGAACAGACCAGATGCAGAAAACTATAACCTCCAGCAGAATCGTCACCCTGCCATACTGGAAATCCCACTTGAAACAAACAAACAGAGTGCTAAATCCACTCAACATTGTTTTCAAAATAGGAAGTGAGATCTATTAAAATTTTTTCCTTTCAAGGTTGAGGTTGAAAACACATTGGAATCCCTTATATCATGTATACATATATAAGCTAAATAACCTCAATTTATCATTAAAATAGAAATTACTTCTTGTCTGGTGAGACTGATCACTTTAAGCAAAGGAAAACCACCAACTTAAAATAAAATTAACTTGTATTTTATTTTAAATTAAGCTCCCCAATCTCATCCCTAAAATTATTCTCTCCCAAGATTTAATTCTCATTGAGGGCACATATGTGATATAGGGTAGAAAGCAACATGGTGGTATCTGCTTTACTCAGTATATATAAATTCAATTTTATTTTAAACATACTATTAAATTCCAGTAGTACAGAAATAATTGATTTCTCGTGCCAAATTCTGGTTGCCCTGAGCTGTCAAGGGGCTTCATTTTACCAGGCAGTCACACACAATTGAAATACAAATCTTGGACATCATATCAGAATAGCAAGAAATTTTCACATTTCCTGGGAGATTTATATAAGGAGCCATGCTGCAAGTGCTTCCTTTAGCTTCTGTCCACCTGAATGTCACTTTCTTTAATAAAAGTTCTGATTTTGTCAACTTGCATTTTTCCCCCTTAAAGGGTCCTCATACTTATCCTCAAATATGCCCGTCTCTTCCACCAAAAAATCTCAACAACCTCTACCAGCCCCATCGAAACATAAAGGAACAGACACTTAAGGGTAAAAGAAGACGAGAATGGTGTGTCCTCAGTGACCCAAATCCATGGTCTCATTCAAATCCTGTCTCCTTTCCCCATTCTCATTTTCAGAAACAGCACCCAGCAATAGAGCTTCTAGCCAGGCTTTCTTTATGTCAAAACTTACAACAAAAGGTGCATTTTCGTGCTGATATTGAGTCCTGGGGTGATGATCAGGGTAAGTGGGTATGGCAGGGGAGAAACCAGCAGAGAAGATATTGAAAGAACCATCTAATATAAGAGGTTGGAAATTTCTTATTAAGAATTTTACCAACATTTTATTGGATATGTGTAAAATACATGTAATAAAAATACATGTTATTAGCACTCTAAAATTATAGCCTAATTTCATTATGCTATGACTTTCAGTTCACACAACAGTTAAAACAAGTAAGCAATAATAGTATGCGTATATAAACTAATATCTCTGCTGTCTTTAATTTCTAAATGTAAGGGAACAAAATATGACTCTGATATCTATAAGCATGAGCTGTCTTAACATGGGAGATGCACTGTACAAACAAAAAGGGGTGTGTGTATATACATACA